TGAATTCATCATGTAATATTCGACGTTCATACCGAGATTGGATCTTACCTGTACATTAACCATGACAAACTTTTTGCTAAGTGCTTTGATATCATTTGATGAAGCGAATTTCGGTAAATACGCTAAAAATATAAAAAAAGCTTATTTTAAGGAAATCATTATTCTAGATATGGAATATAAATTGCTGTGGTTTATCGATGGAATGAGGACGTGASACTGGCAGATAACGCGCACTTTTGTATACTGTTTGTAATTTATGACAGTCTTTTGCATTGCCTTAATAATATCATGTCTTCCCGTTGTAAAGAAGTCTGGTTTACAAGTGAAATATAGCAATGTTTATCATAAATCGACATACRAAATACATACATTGACAAGCCGTGCACCAACTCTTATGAATGACAAGTAGCATCGGTTTCCAACTGAAAAAAAAAGAAAACACCTTAATCTACGTCATATAAACAATAATAAAAAACACTGCACACGGAGTGGATGTAAACTGTTTGCGTTACAATCGATGCTTAAAAAGCTATTGTTGTTATTCAGGTGTTGGTGCTGTTTTTACTGTTGTTGTTGTTTCTTGTTGTGCATGCATGGTCGAGATAGCTTAAGAAACAAAAATCAAGAAATATAATTCGAAAACTTAAGGAGAGATAAAGTTGTAATGGCGCAGCCAGTGAGGCGCGCAAATAAATATTCTTGTTGTGCATGCATGGTCGAGATGCATGTAGTTTTACGTTATATACCTTTTCCTGGCGGCAATGTAACCTTCATCTAGCGATACCCAGTTGAAGTGTTTTCCGAGACCTAAGGATGAATAATTTATCTATAATTCATATTTCAACCAAGATCCATCCAACGACAAAAGCATACGCGAAAAAAAACGTTAAGGGAATCTGGAGGATATCTAAACTTACCCTTGTCGACTCCTGACATATCAATCTTTGATTTTGCAGGCTTCTTGTCAGCAGCTTTTGCTTCTGTTTTTTGTTGAGTTTTTTCTTTCTTTTCCTGTTTTKCTTCCTGCTTTGTTTCTTTTTTGGTTTCCTGTTTTGCTTCTTTCGTTTCATCTTTTGRGGAGAATTGTTTTAAAGCAGCTTTCATAGATTTCAGTACTGWAAGAATAAAAAAGAATACTTAAAATGGACTGAAATAAAATGAGCTTGAATGGAATAAGCAACCTACCTGTTTCTTCATCGCCGTACGCGTATTTATATTTGATGTATCTTARCTTAGTATTGTGGATCGACTTGATTACCTCACCGCTGGGTTCTATGTGCGAGAAACATTGATTACTGCTACTGTGGTGAGAAAGTCTCTTGATAAAATCCAAAGGAAAATCTGTTACTCACCAAGGAAAAATACTCGTGGAAAATACAGACCATCAACGTTGAATTTTGCATCTTTTGGCTCCTCGTCATCCTACAACAAATCCTCATTAATTGCTAATGCTTTATTAATGGTTTGATTAATAATAGGTGTTTGATTGATGTTTGATTAATGTCTGTTTCATCAATGATTAGTGCCCGATTAAAGATTAAAAGTTGATTAACCATTGATGTTTTATTTCTGAATGATTGTGTAAACTCATGCAAAAATGGCCAAACATTTCTATCTAAATGGTCATGCATAAACTTTATTAAGATAGAAATGATGCCACATTAACAAATTGCAACTTGTTTTTTTTTTTTTTTACCTCTACGTTAATCATCGCAAAGTTTTTACTCAGCTTGTGGATCTCAGTAGATTTGGCAATGTGTGGCTTAAGTGCTACAGCAAAAGATAATAAAAGTTATTTATGAAAGAATCAAAAGAGTCAATACAATTGGAAACCATTGGTTTCATGAATATAATCCTGACAATCGGCATAAAACGGCCGGGAAGTTGTGAAAACCAGAATAATGGAAAAACGCGTTTGACGATTTCATGGACGCTAGGCCTAAGGAAACTAGAACAATTCAAAAACGCGTTTGAGTGCGATCCGGATTATTCGATGGATCAATAGACAATAATATCAACACTAACGAAAAGCATTGTGTCAGTGATGTAGCATCAACATGGCTACCATAGACTTTAGTAAAATACACGGTGCATTGTAGTCTAGCTTCAGTACATACAACGCCCATATTTGACAGAATGAGCAAAAGATGTTTGTACTGAATCAAGACGATAATGCAATGCAAACTGTTATCTCAGAAAAGGCTTAATATGAAGTCTGCAGCAGCAATTTGAAAATTACCTTTGCAGGCTCCACACCATGTTTTATGGATTATAACCATTGCAGGCTTCTTGCTGTTAAATTAAAACAAAAAACAAAAAGGCATATAAATAAATGAATAGAATATTGAATCTTGTGAATAACAAGATACACTTCGCGAAAACAAAGACATTGATTGTACTATAACGTACTTTTGCTTGGCATGCTGCAGTCCTTCCGTAAAAGTCATCCATGCTATATCTTTGCCGAATCCTATGGAAATCATCAACATTGATAAACACAATTCATTGACAGTTAATCCTGACCAAATCGTTTAACAATGTTATCAAAACAAATCAATTACCAGCCCTTTCGTGTTTGGTCTTCCTAAGATAACAAAACCCTACCCTACCCCTACACAAATCCGGTCCTTTTTCGCCCAAAGCGTAGATAGCTTTCTTTTTTAAGGAAAATTAGCTTTTTACTGAAAAACGTTTACCGATTTCCAAATATGGCAAATGCAATTCATATGGGAATGAAATATCTTGAGTAACCTTATCAGGGCAATTCTTGAAAATTATGTATTATGTATATTGTATAATTTTCACCTCTATCTAGACCAT